ACAAGCAAAAGGTGGGTGTGGCTGGATGACCACACTTCTGGTAACATGGGGGTGCGGCCTAATGTGCTAATGAGCTGTGCTGTCAGGGGTGTGGCCCAATATGCTAATGAGTTCCTGCTGTTGGGTGTGGCCTATTATGCTAATGAGTTCCTGCTGGGATTTTTCTACAAAAAGAGCTCTGATGATGATGATGATGATGATAATAATAATAATAATAATAATTTTCATAAGACATAAGGATAGAATAATGTAATGTGCAGCTTACGGTATGGAGAATCTCTCTGAGAGTGGCCTAGTCTTTGCTTAGAAACTTCCAGTGCAGGACATTCCATGTCGCCGTTCCCCCCCCCCCCCCCCCCCCCTACAAACAGACAGCAGTTTCTAAGAGAGCTGAAAGTGGCAAAGTAAAGCCATCCCTGGTATGCATGATCATTTCTTTTGTCCTCTTATCATCTCTGGTCAAAGATGTTTTTAAAGCATGACAGCAACCTGCAATATCTGTGCATACAGATGACAGTGGGATGAATGAGCACTGCGGCAGACAATGCCGCTTCCATCCCTAGCCCCTTCCTCAAAAACTCCCCGGTCTTACTAGCTGCCTTCAAATGCTCTCTGGCAATGGGTACCAAGAGCAAATTTCTGCCACCTGCGTTCTTTAAAATACCACCTTGCATTTTTTTTTAGCAGACGCTAAAAAGCAAATGTAGAGTCATTTCTTCTGTGTAACGTCCAATGCCACTCTTAATTTGATACATATACCTACAAACAGGGCTTTTTTTGTAGAAAAAGCCCAGCAGGAACTCATTAGCATAATAGGCCACACCCCAAAACAGAAACTCATTAGCAGATTGGGCCACACCCCTGACAGCACAGCTCATTAGCCCATTAGGCCGCACCCCCATGTTGCCAGAAGTGTGCTCATCCAGCCACACCCACCTTTTGCTTGTTATTCTGTTTACCTTGTTTGTTGTCAAAACCCAGGGCTTTTTTTGTAGCAGGAACTCCTTTGCATGTTAGGCCACACCTCTCTAATGTAGCCAATCCGAATGAGTTTCTGCTGTTGGGTGTGGCCTATTATGCTAATGAGTTCCTGCTGGGCGTGGCCAACTTGGGAGCCAGCTGGAACTCCGTTCCTGTGTGTTCCTGCCCCAAAATAGCCCTGCCTACAAGAAGAGCTGCCCCTGCTGCAGAAGTAGCCGTCAGCTGGGTGGAGGTACGTGGGGCCGCATCCACACACCCCATTCCTGCACCGCGTGTTGATGGCACCGCCCCTCCCCACCCCCTTCCTGATTGTCATGCTGGCACAGAAGCACTGACCAGATAAGAAGCCTCCCTGCAGTCCCACACTCTTCTCCTGCCCAAGAGCTGAGCTGCAACCCAGTTGTTAAAGAAAAGAGCTTTGTTAAAGTGCTGGCTGGGGGGGGGAGAATGCCAGTGGGGGGGGATGCCACTAAGCTCTGCCCCCCATGGCTGTAGGAAGAGCTGCCACATGGAGGTTCTGCCTGCTGCCAGTGTACCATTTCCCCTTCATGTCGGACGAAAGGAGCTTTATCTTTGCTCCGGCTTCAAAGGGGACGCCCCCGGGTGCCCCATGAGTTGTTCTCAGAAAGAGCACTACGCCGTGTGGAAGCTCCTACACAGAACAGTGGCGTGCTGTGTGCCGTACAGGGAAGAACACCCATGTGGAAACAGCCTTGGTTTAAATAGTATTTTGGGAGCATCTTACACGTAAGCTACTCTGCATCCCCAGTGTGGGAGAAAAGCAGGGTACAAATATTTAAATAAATAGAAGTAAACATTCTGTCCTAGCCGTTCAGGATCTGTTGGAAGGCCTTTGCCATTCATCTGTGGTTTGTAGAGTTGCCAGGCTCCAGTTGGGGCCTGGAGATTCCCCGCTTTTACAATGGATCCCCAGCTGATAGAGATCAGCTGGAGAAAACGGCTGCTTTGAAGGGTGGACTCTACGGCATTGTACAATGCCGAGGGCCCTCCCCTCCCCAAACCCCATCCTCTCCTGGCTCCACCCCCAAAGTCTCCAGGTATTTTCCAACCCAGACCTGGCAACCAATGTTCCCTCTAAGCTGTGGAGTCTTGTGAGCAAAAATTCTGCTTTGTGAACTACTGGCATTAAAGTTCTGAGGGAGCGATTTGGCTACTGCATAAATTAGTTTGCTCTGGAGCAGTGGTGGCGAACCTATGGCACGGTTGCCAGAGGTGGCACTCAGAGCCCTCTCTGTGGGCACGCGTCCCATCGCCCCAGCCAGGCCCAGACCATCATTAAAGTGTCAAATTCCCTGCCAAATAATTTTAAGTAAATGAAAGCATTTGGGATTGCTTTCCTTACTTTGTTTGGATCATCTTAAGTTAATGTATGAGTTGTTCTTTCTAAAGTAAAAATTCAGGTTAAATTGCCGTGTTGGCACTTTGCGATAAATAAGTGGGTTTTGGGTCGCAGTTTGGGCACGCGGTCTCTAAAAGGTTCGCCATCACTGCTCTAGAGCCATCCTTCCTGAGCTAAGACAAAAATGTGTGAGCCGGAAGCTAAAAAACTGTGAGCTAGCTCACACCAACGCAGCTTAGAGGGAGCACTGCTGGCAACCCTAGTGGTTTGGATGCTTCCTACTCCCATCCAATGTTCCCTCTAAGCTGTGGAGTCTTGTGAGCAAAAATTCTACTTTGTGAGCTCCTGGCATTAAAGTTGTGAGCGAGCGATTTGGCCACTGCATAAATGAGTTTGCTCTGGAGCCCTCCTTCCTGAGCTGAGACAAAAATCTGTGAGCTGGAGGCTAAAAAACTGTGAGCTAGCTCACACCGACTCAGCTTAGAGGGAACGCTGCTCCCATCCCTCCCTCCCTCTTCAAGTAGGATGAGGCCACTGGGGAACCGAAAGCCAAACCACCTGCTGTTCCAACCAACTTGTTCATGCCCTTTGTCCAAACTCTTAAGATTCTCATGTCCTCCGGCCTCCACCCCCCACCCCGCATCAACTCCATAGTTTGAAAATAATTGAATATAGTATCAAAATCTGCTGTCCCCGATCTGCTGCCACCATGGGCAATGTGGCATAAAATGACAGTATAACAGATGTACCCTAGTCATCCCCTAACTTAAGAACTGGTTATAAAAAACAGGTTGGAAAAGTTATCAAGAGAAGGCATGAGCCAGCACTGTTGCTGAAATTTCAGCTGAATCAGTGCATATTTAGACACTCTGCCTCAGATGACAGATTCAGGCGGGGCAGCCGTGTTGGTCCGAAGCAGGAGAGCAAAGTTTGAGTCCAGTGGCACAGCCCCGTAGCTAGGGAATTCTTTGGGAGGGGGCCTTGGGGGGCCCCGCCAGCTAATTAAATGGAAGTACAGTGCAGGTGGTAAGTTGGAGCACTTTGGGGGCAGCCCTGGAGAGAGGGGGCCCAGAAGAAACACAAGGGGGCCAGGCCCCGTGGGCCCCATGTTAGCTACGGGCCTGCAGTGGCACCTTGACGACCACCAAAGTTTTATTCGAGGTGTGAGCTTTCGTGTGTAAGCTGTATCCATTGTATCTGAAGAAGTGTAAAGGTGCTGCGATCAGGGAGTATGGACCTCCTTGAGGTTCCAGGCCCCCGGGACATCAAGCTTGCCCTAACCAGGGCCAGGGCTTTTTCGGTGGCGGCTCCTACCTGGTGGAATGAGCTCCCGGCGGAGATCAGGGCCCTGCGGGACCTAGTGCAGTTCCGCAGGGCCTGCAAGACGGAGCTCTTCCGCCAGGCATTTGAGTAGGAGCCGCTAAATCTCGGGCTGGAGTGGCAAATCTATTTTTACTACTTCTGTTATTATTCTCTGAACTTTTCCCCAATATTTTTGCACCTTAATACATCGCCACCACATATGAAAAAGGTGCCACTGCACTCAAACTTTGTTCTGCTGCCTGAGATGAGATGCCTAAGAAATTTCAAGGGGTCTTGCCAACAGAGCTCTGAGATGACTAGCAATATTTCCTGAAGGTCCACTGACTCCCCAGGACAAGATTTCAGGGGTCTCACTGGACTGCTGAGGGAAGGAAGAATCAGCAAAATGTGCTGCTGCCGCCACCCCTTAAGAAATCTTTAGGGCACTTAAGTTTTCTAGCTGGATGATTGGATCCAAGCTGTTGGAAAGAAGTACTGTGTATCCGTTAAGAACACAACAGTTTATGAACCACCATACGATCCTCTAACAATTCCTCGTGCCTAAAGGGGGGGATTTGAGCACTGTGTTGTAGAATGAATTGGAAAATCTACTGTGTGCGTGGTCAAATATTTATTCAGTTACTTCATTTATACCCAGCTTTTCTTCCCCAATGGGGACCCAAAGTGGCTTTCATTGTTCTCTTCTGCTCCAGTTTATCCTTGCAACAACCCTGTGAGGTAGGCAAGATTAGATGATCACTTGAATTCTATTTTATTGAAATACTCAATCCCCGACGACTTATTGATAAATGAAAACCAAAAGTCTAAATTGAAGGAATGGGTATTTAATAAGGATGGGCTTTTGAACCGACATGTGGTGGTAAGTTGCCGTACAGCCCCCTTGTATAAGATCTTTAAAAGAGATCATTGCAGGACTGTATATCTTGAGAAACTAACTACTCTGGAGCTGAGAAGGGCTTTTACTGCCCTAAGGTTCCACGTCATACCCTCAATGGTTTGTATTGGCCGCTTTCAGGGTGTCCCTGCCGCCTCCAGAATATGCCTCTGTGGTATGGGTGAAGTGGATGATGTCGAGCATTACATTCTGAGATGCTCATGGCACGAATCACTTAGGCAAAGGTTTATTTATCCTATTGTACCTCGGTATAATGGAATTTCAGAGCAGGATTTGACCGTTTTCTTGCTCTCTGATATTGATGCACATGTTACTAGCAGAATGGCTTTGTGCGCACTGGCGGCGAAAAAGATAAGACTGGGTCTAGGACTTACTGTAAGTTACTGATGTATACTGTTGGTTGTGCTTTGATTTATTTTGTGTTGTTATGGCCAATGGCTAAGACAATAAACTAAACTTGGAAACTTCGGTTTAGCACCCTCCACCCCTTTTCCCCATGCTACAATTTAAATCATTAAAAAAATTCACCCCCAAAAACACGTACGAGGAAACCAATGACTATATATAATCACCAGGTTGTATTCATGGAGCAATTAGCCAGACAGCCAACATAGATAATAACATGTATTGAACAAAGACGAAAATATAGAACCATGGAAATACACAGCGGTGGGTTCAGCGCTGTTAGCCACCACCACCACCCCTGGGCTAGGGGTCACCTCCCCACCAGGATAGTTCTTCTTCAGCCAGCATTGCCGAGGACAAAGTAAGTTTTTTTACTTTCCTATCAGGGCTATTTTTGGGCAGGAACGCACAGGAACGGCATTCCGGCTGGCTCCCGAGTTGGCCACGCCCAGCAAGAACTCATTAGCATAATAGGCCACACCCAACAGCAGAAACTCATTAGCCTATTAGGCCACACCCATGACAGCACAGCTCATTGGCCTATTAAGCCACACACCCCATGTTACGAGAAGTGTGGTCATCCAGCCACACCCACCTTTTGCTTCTTATTCTGTTTACCTTGTTTGTTGTCCAAACCCAGGGCTTTTTTGTAGCAGGAACTCCTTTGCGTGTTAGGCCACACACCCCTAGTGTAGCCAATCCTAGTGAGTTTCTGCTGTTGGGTGTGGCCTATTATGCTAATGAGTTCTTGCTGGGCGTGGCCAACTCGGGAGCCGGTCCATCAGTGGTTCTTAGCCACAAGGTATAGATAGGGGCTCTGGGGCAAGTGATGGTCCGTCTTCTTGGTGCTTGGGGGGGGGTCAACAGTGGGAGGGCTTCTAATGTCCTGGCCCCACTGCCGGACCTCCTGATGGCACCTGGTATTTCTGGCCACTGTGTGACACAGAGTGTTGGACTGGGTGGGCCTTTGGCCTGATCCAACATTGGCATCTCTTGTGTTCTTATGTTCAAAAGAGTTCCTGCTACAAAAAAAGCCCTGGTTCAACTTGTAACTAATTTTAAAGTTAATTGTAAAAAGTTCTTTAGCTGATAATTACAATCAAAACAGGTAGTAAGTACATCGCAAAGCAGCAGGGGCATGAAGCTAATAAAAAGGACATCTAAAAAACACACATGATCAATAATGTGACATTTCAGTTTCAGAACTGAAAAGTCATTCCTACTGATAGTTTTGAAAACCTTATTTCAGCTGTAGCCGCAGGCCAGATTCAAGTGTGCCGCTCACTCATGCTTAGTGTTAGATTGCCATCATGGTCATAAATTCAAACATGTTGAAAATTGTAGAAATAGTCTTAGGGCCAAATGACGGTGGCCAAGGGCCCATGCTGTGGTTGTGAATGCCATTTCAGAAGGATTTGTAGCACTTGTTCTCACCCCTGAGACTTTTGGATGTAGAAACAGCCTGTTCCTGCACCTGAAGAGACGTGTATCTGTGTGTGTGTGTGGGGGGAACAAGAGCTCCTGGGGCTGTTGTGCCACATGCCCAATCTGGATCAGGGCCTCGTGGCAATTTTTAAAGAAGTACAAATGATTCTAAGATGTTGTTGGTGGCCATGGGATGGACCCGTGGCTGTTGTCTGTTGTAGTTTGTCTCTTATACGGAACGTTCTTTTTTGCCTTATCAAAACTGAATTCAATTCCCAGCTCAGAAATGCAATTGTATCAGTTAGGGTGTAAGAAGAGGGGCCATGGCTCAGTGGTGGTGCCTCTGTTTTGCATGTGGAAGGTTCCAGGTTCAATCCTCAGCAGTTCCAGTTAAATAGACTAGGAAGTATAAGGTGTCTACCAGAGACCCCAGAGGGCAATTACCACTAAGAGGTGACTGGGGGTTGTGGCTTAGTAGAAAAGATTTGCACACAGTAGATCCCAGGTTTAACTGTTAAAAGGACCAAGTGGTAGTTGTGATGTGAAAGGCCTCTGCCTGAGACCCTGGAGAGCCACTGCCAGTCAGAGGAGTCACTCCTGATATTAATAGTAAAGGTAAAGGTAAAGGTTCCCTTGCTCGAAAGCCAGTCGAATCCGACTCTAGGGTTGCGGTGCTCATCTCCGTTTCAAAGCTGAAGAGCCAGCGCTGTCCGAAGACGTTTCCGTGGTCATGTGGCCGGCATGACTAAACACCAAGGCGCACAGAACGCTGTTCCCTTCCCACCGAAGTGGTACCTATTTATCTACTTGCAATTTCTTGCTTTTGAACTGCTAGGTTGGCAGGAGCTGGAACTAGAGATGGGAGCTCACTCCATCATGCGGCACCTGGGTCTCGAACTGCTGAACTACCGACCTTCCACAGCCTGCAGTTCAGCGTCTTAACCACTTGAGCCACCGCAGCTCCGATATTAACAGACCAATGTTCTAATTCAGTGTAAGATCACAGCTTGTGTTTAAGAGGCATACCCGGGAACTTGCAATTTTGCCTCCCCCCAAAATACGCTGCCTAGTTAGAATACTCCATGGCTAGATGGGTGGGGGGATGCTGGGGATTAAAATTGAACCCCTTTGTCTTTCAGACCCTCACTCCAATGGTTATGCAAAGCAGCAATGAAAAGCAAACTGCAGCAACATGCATTTGAAATCCCCATGCAACATTAATAAACGAAGCAAAGAGAAGTGTGTGAAAAGTACCTCAGAAGTAACCTTGTTAGACAGTAATTTACAGGTATACTGGTAGAAAGGGAAAAGACTGTCATTAGTAAACAAAGAATAAAGAAAGAGAGGAGAGACTGCAGGTTTGGAAACAAATTAAGCTGAAAACAACTATTTATCCTGCAGCTGAAGCAGCTTGGAATTGTTCAAAAAATCTTGCTTAGGAAAGCAAAACAGCCAATTAAGAATTAAAACAAAACAAAACCAGAACCAAGGTTTTTGTTAGGTGCAATGGCTTTTCTTGTTTTTAACTGTTCTTATGGCGAATTCTGTTTCAAATAAATTAACCTCTTTCCCAAGGATATGGCCAGGCCCTAGAAGACATCTTTCCACTGAAAGTACTGAAGTATTTTAAATGTTTGGTCATACCTAGCCCTCTCCTAGGCAGTCATGTGACCACTGCTTGTATAAAGTAAAGGTAAAGGTTCCCTTGCTCGAAAGCCAGTCGAATCTGACTCTAGGGTTGCGGTGCTCATCTCCGTTTCAAAGCCGAAGAGAGCCAGCCCTGGCCGAAGACGTTTCCACGGTCATGTGGCCGGCATGACTAAACACCAAGGTGCACGGAACACTGTTACCTTGCCACCGAAGTGGTACCTATTTATCTCCTTGCAATTTCTTGCTTTCAAACTGCTTGGTTGGCAGGAGCTGGAACTAGAGATGGGAGCTCACTCTGTCATGCGGCACACTCGGGTCTCAAACTGCTGAAGTACTGACCTTCCACAACCTGCAGTTCAGCGTCTTAACCACGTGAGCCACCGCAGCGCCTTACTGCTTGTATAGTGAACTGTTTTTACAGGAAAGAGTATCCCAAGGAAGATTGCTTGAATGGCAACTTAAGCTCTCAGTTCTTAGGTGCTTCTGAAAAAAGATCTAGATTTCTCATGAAGCACTTTGAGTCACAGATCCTGTCAGCATCCATGGGAAGCACATTTGTGCAGACCCTGTGGCCTGATAGGGAGTCCAAGGTAGTACTGACTGAGCACTCAGCCACGCTTCAAGTGGACATTGTTCTGGTGCTGTTGTGTAAAAAATCTGCCCTTCTGCAGATTGTTATAATTCAAGACAATAAACACCTTCTGAACAAGAAAACAAAGAATTTTAAAGCAAAATCCTTCACAGCTTTCCATATGGGCTGCGTGTGACGGGTTATAAAAGACCCAGGGTGGTCCTGCTGCAACTTCCTATTCAAGCTCTCAGCGGAATTGTTTCCTGATACTAAGCTGAAACTAGTACATAGGGAGATGCTAAATATTAGGGCTGTTTGGGGGGAGGCAAGCAGCCAATACTCAGGTTGCAGTTCTGTAGCTCATTGCAGGGTCTCCTTGCTTTGCATCTTGGTCCCAAACATACATTTACACGGAACTAGTACCAATGATTATGGAGGAATTCACTTCTGAATGAGGTCACGTAAATGGCAATTTCTTCTGCTCTGCTTTGGTTCTGTCGCTTATTAGGAGATACTCTGCTGTAAAAAGCAGGTTCAATGCATGTGGGAAAACATCTGAGCCAACACCCCACGTTTCATCATGAGGGCCACGCAGTGTTGTCTGGGGTTCCATTTCTGCCCTGTGGAACAGCAGTCATAACTTGCAGGGATCAGACACGCCGAATGTGCAAACCTCAACTCCGAGGAAAGCTCCCATATAGACATACTCTGGATCATAGTGAAGAAAGTAAAACAGATGACCTAAAATGGAAAATAACCTACAAGAGAAAATTCAGTGAAATATATGGATTCACATATGATCTTGTGGCTATGCTAGTTGGCGCTGCATCAGCCAAAAGAACACTGGGTGGATATCCATATTGTTGTCATCTTTTTGCGTATTAATACGTTTCCCTGTATTTGCAAGGCTCCTTAAAAAAATAAAGTTATCTACCAAGAGGCCCATTTCAGAAAAAGACATTTAATTTTGGCATGACCCGTAGTAATTACTGTTTTTGTTCAGTACTTCTATGCACAGAATGTGAGGTGACCTCTAAAAGCTGTAGAGACAAAGAACGCCTCCTTCCTACGTGCACAACAATGACACAAAGTAACCCTACTTACACTGCTCTCATCCATCTTCTCCCGCCTTTTGGTTTTGTGAGTTTCATAATCTTCCAGGAGAGTCTGCATCAGGTTCTTCGGCTTCTGAGAGGCTCCCGCTTCATCCAATGCCGAGTCGGAATGGGACGAGGGACCTTCTGAGGTCGGGGATGGAGGCGGCTTGATCTTCTCTATTTTGCCTGTAAAGACCCAATCACAATCCCAGATTCACAAGCGGTCTTTGAACAAACGTCAGACTTGTAAAAAGAAAAGAGGGTTTATTATTCAACACATAGCAGGGTCTGCCCATTGGAAGCAGTGCCCTGAAGTCTCTTCATCAGGTGTTTCAGAAACTGGTGCTTAAACTTTTGTGACCGGGACGTGCACACCTGAAGGCCTGTTTCTCCAGATACGAACTTCATCTGGCAGATATGCCCCTCGCAACAGATCCTAGCAGTCCGTTCCCACCAGGGACACCATTTGTTATGGCCCAGCCTTTTCTGTTGCTGCCCCACTACTGTGTAACAGCTTCTCAGGAGGAATGAAGAAGGCACTATCCCCTTCGGCCTTCCACAGAAGGCCGTAAAGCAGAATTATTTATACAACCTTATGGAGCAATCTGAATTGAGCCCTGGTTTATTTGTTTTCATTATCACTTCAGTGATGTCTTTAAAAGATTTCAACTTTTTTTTTTGGTATTGTTACCAGGGGTCATTTCCTGCAGGAGCGCACAGGAGCGGAGTTCCGGCAGTAAATAGCCCAGGGGGTGGGCACATGTAACAAGCCCGATCCCCTGCTCCCAGCAGCCCTCAGTCAGAGCAAGAAGCAGCCAGGTAAGTTGCAATGCCCCCCCCCGGCCTGCCTTCAGGTACAAGCCCTCCCTCCTCTGAGAGGGCAGATCTGCGCGTCCCACCCCCCCATAGCTAGTAATCCAAAACAGTCCAGTGGCACCTTTAAGACCAAGTTTTATTCAGGTACAAGCTCTCCCTCCTCTGCAGGGCAGATCTGCACATTCCCCCCCCAGCTAGCAATCCCAAACAGTCCAGTGGAGCCTGAGCGGTGGGCGTTGCCTTCTGACACACTTCCGGTGATGTCAGGGGGTGTGGCATATGCCAATGAGTTATGCTAATGAGCTCATGCACCTCTTTTTCTATGAAATGACCCCTGAT